AAACCCTAAGCAGCAAGCAAATCTGGGATTCGGGGATATTCTGGGTGTATGTGCTAAGCTCAATTAATCTACAAGTTTTATAAAGACTTACATCAAGGGGACCCTAAACAAGAGCGTTCATAGGGTCCCAAAGAACCCTAAACCATAAACCACAAAAAAAAGGCTTCACACAGTCGCTAAGCCCTAAGCAGTAAAAAAATGGAAAGGAAAGGTGGGTCCACGTAATGGAACCACAGAAACTCGAGCCCGGCATCTCAGACGCGAGCTACATTTGCAATCATTTCGTTGTGCTGCCTGTCAGGGGTTTGGGGTTTAGGGGTTTAGGGTTTAGGGGTTGAGGGTTTAGGGGTTTAGGGGTTTAGGGCTTTGGGTCAGAACAACGATGCGCTGGTCCGACGATTCTTCGCAGGAGGGCTGCAGCTTGTGTGCGTTTTCCTACGTCGACGTGGCTGTTCGGGGTCCTGCTACAGGAAGTTCCTGGCAAATTTAGATGCCATCACATGGGAAGTCTCGCTTCTCAAAGTTTCAACAGCCTCTCTGTGCATGCCCGGGGTGCTGGTGCCTAGGGAGTTAGGGAGTTATAGGTACAGCAGCCCTTAACCTGTTTGTTCTAAAGGCTTGCAAGCCTTTGTGGAGCTCACCCTAAACCCTAAACCCTAAACCCTTACTTCCACACGCTCCCCCTGGCCGTGAGTCTCCAAACCTTGCAAAGCACAAGTACTGATTGGCAAGGGCTACGGCTGATGATAGAAATCCTGCATTACCTTAAAGACCCTTAGCTATGGGACTTATGGTACATTCCTTACTATGGGGTAATGCAGGATTTATATGATCAACCGTAGTCTGTGTGCCTCAGAGCCATAATATGCTCGCCCCGTCGAAGGCGACGGTAGCGCTTCACACGAACCTGCGTGGCGGATGGCCGCGCGCGCTTGCGATGGGCTGGGAAGGGTGTTAGTTCCAGATCCGAATCGGGTGCTGCGAGTGCAAATGCAAAATGTAGAAATGAATGTGCACATAGATATACACACAGATATAGTTTTAGGCATAGATATACATTTATAGATATGTATACATGTGTGTAATATTGTGTAATTAGAGAGAGGGAGACCGAGAAACAACAATATCATGTGTATTTACATAATTTATGTATACGTATGTATAGTACATACACGTATCTCCCCTTGCATGTACTACAGATCTGATCTCATTGCATTGGGGTGGGCAGCTCGGAGCTTGTGAAGATGAAGCGGCACCTTGAACTAGGGTTTAGGGTTTAGAGTTTAGGGGTTTAGGGTTTAGGTTCTGTACAAAATACAAGCGCAAAATCTGTAACTCCAAAAGGAGTCTGTTACTGCGCTCTTATTTCTCACTGATCAGGCATCAGTAGCACATACTGCAACCAAGTCCAGCGACTTCTGGCAGCGCCGGGCTCCACGCCCGGACGTCGTTGCGTTTCTGACGGACTTGAAGTGTGCATGGTACCTACATTCTCCCTGTAGTTCCCTCTGTTGGTTAACCAAAACTTCGTGGTAGGAGCCTAATGTATCCTAACAATAAACAATTGTTCACAAATAGAAAGGAACTGCAATGGCTGTTTCTGGCACCTACAGCAACAAGAAGCAGCCTTAAAACCAGCCTCCATGCAGAAGCATGCGGCAGTAGGCTGTGCGCAAGCCCGAAATAGGGGCTCCTGCCGCTCCGAGGACGCAGTCGGCGCCTTGGGCGCGAGCCGCGAGGCTGAGTCATCTGCAGAGCAGCAAGGCCAAGTCGTCCCAAAACTCGGGTGCACCTCCGTCCTCTGGAGCTGCGTCGGCGAGACAGGGAAGAGGTCGCAGCTTCACAACTCTAGCCCAACATGCTCAAAAGCAAGGGCTAGAATCAACTAGAGGTGACTAGAGGTGAGAAGACGAGTTCGTGCAGGGCGCCGAACTCCCTCACAGCTACCTCGAGCATCACAGACACGCACGTCTCAATGCAGCTCACGACGGAGGCTGAAACCACCAGGTGGCATCCTGGGAATGGGCGTGCATGTCTGAATCATGTGTCCACGGTACGGCTGGGGTTTAGGGTGTAATTGCAGCAGTGGCTGTACGAAAAAGTTGGGGGCGTGGAGCCCGCGAGATCGACAAATGCCTGGCTGTACAGCAAACGAGCACGCTGTATGTCTGACGAATCATATAGGGTAAAGGGGTTTCCATATATCAAAACAGTTTAAGATATTACTTAAACTTAAACCCTACACCCAAAACTCTAAACCCTAAACACCAAAAGCGTAAGCTTCGACCTGGCTCAGCAAAAACCAAGATCCGGGCAACGCCGAGGTGGAGTGTGGCACCCACCTGGCTGCAGGTTTATTTTTTTGAAAGTGTAATGGCCCTTTCGCTTCTCGCCGAAGGTCGGGGCTTGCCCTGTACGCAAGCATACACTATCAAGAAGTAAAAACCAGGCATAAGCCCACCATGTCTACAAGCCATGCCCAGAGTAAGGCTGATGCCCTCGACATCCAGCACAGCACAGCAGACAGGGGTGGAGGGTTTAGGGTTCAGTGGTGCAAAGTTTTGGGCTTACGGGTGTAGGGCTTAGGGCTCAGTGGTGCAAGGTTTAGGGTTTAGGGGTGGAGGGTTTGGGGTTTAAGGGTTTAGAGTTTAGGGCGTAAGGATTAAGGGTTTAGAGTTTACGGGTTTAGGGGTGTAGGGTTCAGGGTTTAGGGGTTTTAGAGGTTGGGATTTAGGGGGTTTACGGGTTTTAGAGTTTAGGGTTTAGGGGTGTAGGGTTTAGAAGGGCAGCTACGACTGTACTGCTACTACAACTGCTACTCCTCCTACTACTACTATCATTGGTGCTATTCGTGCTAGCATTCATTATTGTTGCTGCTACTGCTACTGCTACTGCTACTGCTACTGCTACTGCTACTGCTACTGCTACTGCTACTGCCACTGCTACTGCTACTGCTACTGCTGCTGCTGCTGTTGCTGCTACTGCTGCT